GGGACGCTGCCGGCCCCCCCGCCGTGTCCGGCCTGCACTGCCCTTGCACTGGTTCGCTCAGGGTCGCGGCGGAGGCTGCGGTTCCTGTGCTGTGTCCGCGCTGCGTAGGACTGCCTCTCCCAGCTCGCAAAATGACCAGCCGGAGAGTGGCGCCCTAGAGGAAGAAACCGGTGTGACCCTGGTGCGATTGCGTAGGAGCAGCTTCTGGCCCAGTGGCGCCTTTGCACCCAGAGCAGTGGGCAAGAAAATTCTAGGTCTCTTTCCGTCTCTCAGCCTCGATTTGCCACCTGGTCAGGTCACCACTGATTACACCCCTACTGATGCAGAGTACATAATCTCTTATCCACGCAGGACAGCAAAGTAGGTAGGCCATTTTATTGTTGGGAAAAAAAAAATCCATGGAGATCTAAAGAGATTAAGTGGCTTGCTCAAGGCCACGTGGCTAGTTAAGTGGCAGTGTCCTGGCTGCAAAGCCTGGGCTCTGCTCTCGGGATTGCAAGGAATAGGAACTGAAGGATTCTCTGAGAAGATAGATGATGCCGAGACCGGGGGTAAATGTGGACACTTTCCCCACACCAGGCTTAAAAGTTGTGCACAGTCATCACAGCACTTTAGAGGCTTACTGGAAGATAGTGTGTGGTACAGTTCCACTTTGGGGGAATGCTTTGATGATGAAATGAAGTGCTTGTAAAGTAATGCTAGTTACTACTCTATTAATCCACAGGCCTGTGGGGATTTCAAGGATATTTTCAAGAACACCCAGGAGGTTACCTCTGCTGCTTAGGTATTTCTCTGACCCTCAGTAGATACATTTCGTTGGCTTAGGGCAGAGATGGTCGCCTCATACCTACAAAACCCAGAGGTCACAGGAAGCAGAGGGTGAGTGAGGCAATACCTGCTGTGACTGCTGCCCTCCCTTCAGAGAGGGAGCAGATTACCCACTCTAGCTGACTGTGGTCCCCTGAGAATGAGAGCCCCAGATGTTCTATCTTCTCATTCTGGAATCTGAAAGTTAATATGTCCTCATTTTTACTTTAGCATGTTACTTAATTTCTTTCTGCCCAGACACCACACAGGCCAAAACAGAACAGTGCTATGGCCCTGTGGCTTGTTGGCTGGCTGGCTGCTTGTCCAACTGGATTTTGTTCCCTATATACTATGCCCTGTACAATTAACCCTTCAAGTGTCATCAGTCATATCTGCCTCAGGGTCTGGAATTATTTCTGACATCAAGTTTTAAATAATCACTGATAAAAGCGCCTAGAGGCCTTCTAAGAATAAATAACTTGTGTGGTACAATAGAGTATAGGTATATACCATTTATCCACACCTCCTGACAACACTGTGAGGTAATCAGGGATTATCTGCTCCCATTTTACAGCTAAAGATAGATTGCAGAAAAGTGAACAGGACTAGTTGTAAATGTATATTGCAAACTCTAGGGCAATAGTTTAAAAAAGGGGGGGAGGGAAGAAAAGTGTAACTAATATGCCAAGAAAGGAGAGAAAATACAGTCACATAAAACTCTTAATTAAGGGACAGCTGGTGGTGTGGTGGTGAAGGCGGCTGGATTCCACTTGGCCAACTGTGGGTCAAGTCCTGGCCCCAGCAACCATGCCCCATGGGGAGTGCTTTCTCCCTCTCATTTTCTCTCTGGGAAGCGCATCCACCGCCTGGCAATAGTTGATTTAACTCTGCTCAGTGGTTAAGAAGTAACTGAACATTTTTTCCCAAAGGAGAAACAAATTCAGAATATACTGATTTTTCAAAAAAACTAATGAGAAAATACGAATAGCAACACAAAGTGCATTCAATGAGAATTTTTATTTCAATTATCCACAAAACAATATTACAATACTTTATAAAAATATTAAGTTTTAGCCTACCATTATTCATTTAAAAAAGTGTGCTAGAAGGCTGTTTCTGCCAGCTTCCTTTTTTTGGTTAGAGTTAAATTCCACATTAAGACACTGAAGAGAAAAAAAAAACTGTTGGAAAAAAAATCTTCAAATGTACAAAGTTGTTTATTTTTCTTGGTAATTTAAAAATACATAACAACTTAAACTGAATACATATTAAGTTAGTGTTTTATCCTTACTGTACAACTGTTATTACAAGGAACTGCTCCATTTAGTTAAAACCAAAGGAATACCATCAACTTTTCCTGGCTTATTTTTATGATCAGATTTAGTACATAAACACAATTTTGTTACCCTCTTTAAAATTCTTAGAAAAAATACAAGATCATGATTCACATACAGCCCTTTAAAAATTTCATGTCACAGGTCATAGACCTTAAGGGTAAATAATAACAGCACTCTTCTTAGGAGAACCCTTTTGGTAGAGGTTTTCAATACTAAGCAGGTTGTGTAAACAGAAGAAACCACCACGATTTTTAGTACCAGAATTGTTGGCAACTTGCATGAAGTTCATTGGTCAAATTTTAAAATGGTTTGAATTTGAACATGTATACTCTGGCACAGAGCTTTAAATTAAATGATTAAATCAGGTAAGCGATGGCAGTTGAAAATTATATCCTGAAAATAAGGGAACCTGAAAGTAATGCCTTAAAGTGTGACTATAATATAGAGTATTTTAAAACATAAATACTTATCCTATCCAGTTTTTTCTGTACTGGACACTTAAACCAGTAATGCTGCTTTTCAAATTAATATTTTGGAATTTCTTTCCGAATCAGCTATAAAAATCAGTCTTATTTTGTGTTTTACTTCTGTACTTTACAGGGGCAAATACTGCTCTCCTTTTACCGCTGTTATTATTCAGAGTAAGTTTTCCTCCTCAAATCAACTCTACTCTAATAGGGAAAAAAGATCGCCATTTAGTATATTAAAAAAGTGAACTGAGAGTCAAACATGGATTTGAAAACCAGAGTTCTAAAAATGTTTTGCATAAAAGCTGTATCCATGGAATTAGTGTGAAGCCTAAACTTCACTTGAGGTTATTACACTCATTTAGTATGTATGTTAAGAAAAATTAGTTTTATAGTCATACTCTTAAAGTCTTAGAAAATAGCTAAGTGAGGAGAGCTTTGAATGCCAGCAAAGCTATTTTGTCACTCCATGACATAAACATTAAACATTCCATTCCATTCTCTACCTGTAAAACTTTCACATTTGCTTTTCTCATATTTCTCTAAAATACATTTTCCTCTCTGTTAGTCCATAATCATTACTAGCAAAAGTGCATTCGAGTCCCTGATCTAGTGGTATTTTCTATTTGTGGCACCCATCACCATAAGACCATATTAGCAATGTCTCCCAGTACCAGGTCTAATTTTTACAAAGGACTGTTTAAATGCTCGGTCTCACTTTTCATGCCATTTAAAGATGAAAAGATTCCCCCCTTAGATTTGATGTTACAATTTCAATTATAACTGTCTTTAAAAAAATCAATGCAATCTCATAAAAGATTAACTCACTTTCTAGTTACTTTCATTATTCTAAATTGAACTGTTCAGAAAATGACAGAAGTTAAAAATTTCTTACTGTTTTCCAGTTCCACGAATATGAATATTAACATATGCATTATACTTTCAAGTGCCACTGCTGTAGTCTAACATTTAATCAAGTTTTAGATGCTATTCATACTCTTTATGCTTCTGAAAAACCTGGCCTGTTTCCATGCAAAAGGAAGCATATATTAAGATTACATATTGACTATTTAACTTAGAAAAAACTTGAGAATAATAACTGCAAGAAATGTTTAAAAACTGGAATGGAATTATTTGGTCCCATGAAGTTCCTCAATTTTAGATTTTATTATTGTATAACTTTCTACCTCTCAAGTTTCATCTAAAACAATAAATAATTTTAACAATTCTGAGTTTGGGGAAGAAAAGAAAGGAAATGATTTATAAATAGTAGCCTTGTTGCCATGTTATCACCCACACTATTATGAATATCTTATCTCTATTTTCTTTGGACCCTGAAATATGTTGGAAAATTCAGCATTGGTACTTTAGAGTTTAACACTTGGAAAAAAAAAAAAGTGGTTTTGTGCAACCATATCTGGAATTCCAGTTTACCATTAAAAACATGCAGAATGAAGATGATTTTTTTCTTCTGAGTCCTGTACATCAGTGAGGAACTCTTCCCAAATTCTTAACATTTTGGCAGATTTGTGCATATAAAAGAGGCTGCTTGGATTATAAATTTTCTCCTGGCTGGTACTGTGGCTCTGTAGCAGTGAAGTAGTCTTCCAAAAAGGACTGAATATATTCAAATGTTGGTCTTTCATCAGGGTCCTTCTTCCAACAAAGATTCATCAATTCATGGAGGGATTCTGGACAGCCCTGAGGGCAGGGCATCCTATATCCTCGTTCTACCTGTTCCAGCACTTCCCGGTTTACCATACCTAACATATAAGATTCACGCATTAAAAACAGTAATGATAACCACCACTGGCAAAACAGAACAAATTCCCTAGCTACTAATGATTCAAGGTATATTAAGTTTATTCGGTGCAATGACTTTTTTCAATAAAGAAACAAAATAAATGTTACTCATCAGTAAATGGAGAACTTAGAAAATGCTAATCTGTTTTGACACATTTAATTTTTCTGAAATTTCACCTTCAACAGTTATGCCTTCGAAAACAACTCCATTTGCTTAACGAGAATTTAGGGTGCCAAAATAAGGGTAAGGATTGGGGAGGGGGAGAAGAAATAAAAGATTGGGGAGGGGGAGAAGAAATTAAGATGGTCCTTTACTCCTTTTTATTTTTGTTCCTAATAAACTCCTAATAAAGTTACTGAGGGGATAACCTACAGCTAAATGAAATGCAAGCCCACCTGGATATGGCACTCGGCCCTTTGTTACCAGTTCTGTTTGCAGAATTCCAAATGACCACACATCGGACTTTATTGTAAATCGACCATAAAGTGCAGCCTCAGGAGCTGTCCATTTGATCGGAAATTTTGCACCTAAAACAATATTGACAATGTTAATTGTTTAAAAATACCTATTTGCCAGGCTGACCCCATAGCCTAGTAGTTGATGAAAGATCCAGCTCCAACATGGCTGCCTACGGTTTGAATCCTGTCCCTGGCAGCTTGAAAAACACACTTTGCACATGTGCATGCATACTCCAAAATCCCAACAGGATGGAGAAATGGAGGAAAAGGGATTGCAACATGATCATGCCTCACTAGGAATGGGGTGCTTTCTCTTCTCTGTGCTATCTGGCAATTAAAAAAAAAAAAAAAGTAAAGCTATTTGTGTACATATAGCACAAGCAGGGCAAATCTTCTGTTAATATCCCTATTCTGTATTATATGTGTCAAATTCTTCAAACATACAAGATTCATGGGAAATTTTTTTTTAGAGCGAGATTTTTGCTGTAGGGCATGTGCACTTGCTGGAGAAAGAGACAGAAAGTGAGAAATCACCCCCCGACACACACACACACACAGGTGATGGCCATTTCACAATCCCTTCTCCATTCTCCTCTTGGGATTTTGGTCACACATGCAGATGCACCTGGCCTGTACTTTAAACTGCCAGGTCCGGGATGTGAACTGTGGTCGACCATGTGGGAGTCAAATGATGTAACCATTACACCGTCTGCAGGTCCTATGGGAAATTTTTTTTTTTTTTTTGAGAGGTTTTTGCTATAGGATGCGTTTGCTCACCAGAAAGACAGAGACAGAAAGCAAGAAATCACTCCCCTGGGGGGATGGCCTCGCTGCAATCCCTTCTCCTCCATTTTCCTCTTGGGATCTTGGGCACGCATGTACATGCACCCAGCGTGAGTTTAAGGCAAGGGGTCTGGGACTCGAACAGCGGTCAACTATATGGGAGTCCAGCGACATAGCACTTATGCTAACTGCTGGTCCCAAATTTTTTTAATTTTTAAAACTTATACAAAAATAAATCACATTTCTTCCTGATAATACAGTTAATGATATAAAAAACTATATGGCAATAGTCTTGATTTATCACATACATTGCATGTATACTTTGATACACCATATTGTATCCCACAAAGATGTATAGTAATTAAACGTAAATAAGAAAATATAAATTCAAAAAGAAAAGTAAGCTGGTAATGGGGACAGAGAAACATTCAAGGGAGAGGCTGTAGTAAGCTAAACATAAGGATTATGGATCTGTAACTTTCAAGTCCAGTTGGGCACCTCATAGCTACCTCTAAGCGATGATGGGTTGATGAGGGCGTATTCTGTTGGGTTTTCATGTTTACTGCTTTTGGACCATAGTCACTTTCTTTTTATTTAAATAATTGTTTTATTTAACTTTGTTTTAATTTGACCAGAGAGGGATAGAGAGAAAGAAAGAGAGAGAGAGAAAGAGAGAGAGAGAAAGACAGAGAGAGAGAGAGAGAGAGAGAGAACAGAAAGCAAGCCGCCAGGTCTGAGACTTGAACTGCAGTCAGCCAAGTGGGAGTGCAGCACCCTTAACCACCACGCCACCTGCTGACTCTCTTCAGTCACTTTTCTATTTTATGATTATCTGTCTGAAAATTTTTATTGTGCTATTATTTTTAAAAAGCTCATGTTGATTTACTCAAATATTTAGAATACTGGGGCCAGCAGGTAGTGTGGTGGTTAAGACGCTGGACTCCCATATGGCCGACTGTGGTTCGAGTTCCAGACCTGGTGGCTTGCTTTCTCACTTTTCCTCTCTCTTACTCTGTCTCTCTGGTGAGCACACATGCCCTATAGCAAATTTAAAATAATAATAAATAAAATGATTAAATAAACAATTATTTAAAAAAAATTAGTATATACCTTTTATGCAGAAGGACATATGCTAATCACTACTGGTACATAAAAGCTATAGCTTTTGTGAACTTTATACACTTGTGGTGGAAATAAGAATAGGGATGTCTGACATATTTGAAACTGTGTGCGTGTGTGTGTGTGTGTGGTATTATAAAATAGATTTATTTAGGTATTACAACAATCAAAAGGTCAACTATTGCTGGCACAACCACACAAGGTTTCCTTAAAGGACTGCTTAAATTAAGTCTTAAAGAATGGTTAACATTTTAATTCAATTTTATTTTATTATTTATTTATTTATTTATTTAATATTGAGAGAGATTTCTGCTATAGGGTGCATATGCTCACTGGAGAAACAAAAGAGACAGAAAGTGAGAATCACCCGCCGGGGGGAACAGCCATGCCACAATCTCTTCCCCTCCATTCTCCTCTTGGGATTTTTGGACAAGCACGCACATGTGCCTGGCATAAGTTTCAAGCTGCAGTCAACCAATGGTTAAGATTTTTATAGGTAAATAGCAAAGAAGAATAGGAAGATATTCCAGCTTTACGTAACTGCACAAAAGTAAGGAGGTCGAAAAGAAAACAATGTGTCTAAAGTAGTCTTTCAACCTTGGCACAACTGACATTCTGGGCCTGACAATTCTTCATTGTTGGGGGACTAGCCTGTACATTGCAGGATGTTAAGCAGTATGCCTGGCTTCTACCCTTTAGATGCCAGTAGTAGCCCCAGTGTTGTTAAAAACAATAATGTCCCTAGATATTTTTTGGGAGGGGGTCCGTAGGGCAATATTACTGCTGACTGAGAACTTCTGGTCTAAGACAATACAAAATATTTCAAAAAGTTCATGGGAAAACAGAATAAAGTACAAGTTTATTTTGGTGTAAAAACTTTTTAAAAGAAATCTCTGCATAGTTTTTCATAATGTGCATTTTCTATGAATTTTTTGAAGACCCCCTTGTATGTTTAATGGTTCATGAAAAAATCATCATGAAAAGAATTAATGTTTATTTGCTGGTGTGTCAAAAGAAATATAAAGAGGCTACTATTTACTGTATTTGTAATGCAAAGAATACCTATCAAATCAGAAAACCATAGTGGTATTTATTATAAATGACTTTATGACTAAAATCAACGTTTCTATCACTCTTCAGAGGGGACTTAGTACTGTTCTCATTCTTTTTTTTTTTTTTTTGGAGAGATTTTCACTGTAGGGCGTGTGCGCTCGCCAGACAGACAGAGAGAGACATAGAGACAGAAAGCGAGAAATCACCCCCCCAGGGGGGATGGTCATGCCGCAATCCCTTCTCCTCCATTCTCCTCTCGGGATTTTGGGCACACACGCACACGCGCCCGGCGTGAGTTTTTAAGCCACCGGGTCCGGGACACGAACTGCGGTCGGCTACGTGGGAGTCCAGCGACATAGCCATTACGCTAACTGCTGGTTCCCTGTTCTCATTCTTTATAAGACTCTGTATGTTCAAGAGTGCTACTAAGTAAGAAAAAACAAAGAATACTAGGTTAAAAGCATTTATGTAAATATAATTTTACCTTGTCTTGCTGTGTATTCATTGTCTTCAATTAACCTTGCTAATCCAAAATCTGCTATTTTGCACACAAGATTTTCTCCTACAAGAATATTAGCAGCCCGAAGATCTCTGTGAATATAGTTCATTCTTTCAATATATGCCATACCATCAGCAATCTTGGAAAGGGAAAAAAAATCATAAAATATATGATACAAAGGAAAGCAGAGAGGAGACAATTTTGGTTAATGTTAAATCAGATCACTGAAAAATCATGCATTCAAAAGGAGATGTTGGTAAGAGAACACAGTCTAGGAGATAATAGGAAAAAAATCCCACTATAATAAAATAGCAGGCCAAGTTCATATTTCAAAATCTGACATCTACTCTGAAGGCCAAGGTTTCCAAACCCTTGTTATATCCAGTCACCATTAGCAGCATAATGTCCTAATGTCTTCTTGTGTCAGTGGTTAGGAGAAGAGAGGAACCACCAGGTTGTTTAGTGCCTCTGGACACAGCACATTAAAGTCCACACGGGGCACAAGCTGAGATGTCCTGGTAATGAAGGCATTAATCACTAGGTAGAGCTTGGCAAACTCAGCCTGCAGGTCAATGTAGCCTGCACTTTATTTATTTTAAAAATTTTTAAAAGGATTATTTCATTTAATTTTATTTATTTATCTATTTATTTATTTCAATTTAACCACAGAGGGAGGGAGGGAGGGGGGGGGAGAGAGAGAGAGAGAGAGAGAGAGAGAAAGCAAGCAAGCTGCCAGGTCTAAGACCTGAACTGTGGTTGGCCATGTGGGAATCCAGCACCCTTAGCCACTATGCTACCTGATGGCCCCCGGCACTTTAATTTTGTATGATCTGAAAAGTAAAAATGGTTTTTAACATTTTTAAAAGGTTAAAAGAAAAAAGAAAAAGGAAGAACAAGTACAACAGAGATTATATGTGGCCCACAAAGCCTAAAACAGTTACCTGGCCTTTTTTTTTTTTTCAGAGAGATTTTTTGCTATAGGGCACATGTGCTTCCTAGAGAGACCTAAAGCAAGAAATCACCCCCCTCCCCCGCCTCAGGGGATGGCCACGCTGCAATCCCTTCTCCTCCATTCTCCTCTTGGGATTTTGGGCACACATGCACATGTGCCTGGCCTGGGTTTCAAGTTGCTGGGTCTGGACCTTGAACTGCAATCAACTACATGGGAGTCCAGCGACATAACCATTATGCTATCTGCTGATCCTTTACCAAAATGGTCTGTCAAGCCTTCCCACCTCCCCTCCATCACCACCAAATTCTGTTTATGAACCTTGAACTCTGGAACGTGAACCAGGCCTAGCATATGCCTGTCTCATCTGTACAGTTTTTCAATAGGAAGTTTCTCTAAATTGCCAGATTATGTGGACATTTGGATGCTCACTGAGAGTTAGAACTCGGAATCTGGGGCCAGCAGGTAGTGTGATTGTTAAGGGCACTGGACTCCCACATGGCTGACCGCAGTTCGAGTCCTGAACCTGATGACTTGCTTTCTCACTTTCTCTCTCTCACCCTGTCCCTCTTTGGTCAAATTAAGATAAATAAATAAAGTTAAATTCAGCATACACTTTAAATTTCTGTTTTGTTTTTTTTTTTGATAGCACTCATATATTTTAAAATTTAATTTAAAAAAAAATACTTGTTATAGCAATGTAATACACTGTAAAGTTATATGTAATCCAATGTAATATAAAGAAGATTATGATGATAATAAAAATAAAATAAAAAAACATACCTGTTGAAATATAAATACATGCAGACTTTTTGTTTGTGGAAGTATATATTTTCTAAACAGCCATATGATACAGGGCAGTACTGGACTAGGAGTCGTATAGCTGATTCTATATTGGTTCTACTAATAACAGTTATGTGAAGTTTTTATGCTGGAGCGTGTGTGCTTCTGGTCTTTAGATATTACATTATCTGTAACATTAGAAGCTCACACTGAATCATCTCTAATGCTCTTTCCAGTTGTAAAATTCCATTATTTCTTTATATCAGAGGGACTACAAAAAGTTTCTGGAAAAACCATTCATATGTACTTAGGGGCCTCACAATGGTATGGCTATAAAATACAACATTCTGTGAGGCAGACCCATTTGGGAAGGTCCCTAGTTCAAGTCCAGAAACCTCAGTGTGTACGCCAGGCAGGTGTCCCCATGATTTAGGCTGGCTGAAAGTGGAGCTGGATGGATGGTGTGCTGGGGCCCTATGGGAGGGTGAGGTGTGCTATCTCTTATTCACAGGACAAATAAATAAACTTAAACAAAAAAGGTACATGTTTATTTTGGTGCAAACGTTTTGAAATTTAGTTTCTTTCATAATACACTTTTTTCATGAAACTTTTTAGAGGTCTCTCATATAAACTAAAATTCTAAGATTATTCAACATTTTAAACATATACTTTCAATTTAAATGGACACGTGCGTGTATAGATACCTGAGCAGCCATATCAACAAGTTGTGGAAGTTTCAAATATTTTCCATCTCCTTCTTTAAGGAAATCTAATAAACTTCCTGTAAGAGACAAGATAGTCATGGACAGTAAGTAATTCTTACATTAGGAATGAAATACTCTTCCACCCAGACTATAACACAAAACTTCATTTTTTTTCAGTTTGGGCCAGTTGGTGACGTGCTGGTGAAGGTGCTGGTCTCCTACATGGCTGACTATGGTTGGAGTCTTGGACCTAGACACTAGCTTTCCCACTTCTCCTTCCTTCCTCTCTCTCTTTCTCTCTCTGTCACTTTCTGTTGAGTATACAAGTACTATAACAAATTAAAAATAAATAATAAAGTTAAATAATTTTTTAAAACAGAATAGAAAAAATTGGCAATTATTTCAGTTTTGGGATTTCTGAATTAATTCTGCATAATTAAGAGAGATTTTTGCTGGAGGGTGTGTGCATTTGCCAGAGACACAGAGAAAGAGCGAGAGAGAGAAAGAAAGTGAGAAATCACTCCCTGGGGGGATGGCCACACCACAATCACTTCTGCTTTATTCTCCTCTCAGGATTTTGGGCATACATGCCTGACATGAGTTTTAAGCTGCTGGGTCTTGGACTCAAGCCACTGTTGGCTATATGAGAGTCCAGTGCCACAACTACTATGCCACTTGCTGGCCCTGAGGTTCCTAAGGTTTTATTATTTTTTTTTTTTGAAAGGTTTTTTCTACAGGGTGTGTGCACTCACCAGAAAGAGAGAGACAAAGAGACAGAAAGTGAGAAATCACCCCCCGGTGGGATAGTCATGCTGCAATCCCTTCTCTTCCATTCTCCTCTGGGGATCTTGGGCATGCAGGCACACGCACCCAGTTTGAGTTTAAGCCACCGGGTCCGGGACCTGAACCGCAGTCGACTACATGGTAGTCTAGCGACACAGCCATTAGGCCAACTGCTGGTCCCAAGGTTCCTAAGGTTCTAAAAATGTTTCCTAATAACATGCTAAAAAAAAGGAAAAATGCCATAACCTATCAGATTAGAGGCATTCTTCCTTTATTTTGATCGAAATTCCAATTTCAATTTAAAAAGAAGCACTAGATAACTGATATATATATATATATATATATAT